GCAATTTCAATCAATTACTCGACCATAACTTTTCCCTTTAAATCTGTCTCCAAAAGCTTCAAATCTATTCACAAGCAATTCGATATACTCACTACGAATTATAGGAATTAATTCCATATGAATTTACTAACTTTTCGAATAAAATCCGAATTTCACTTTAAAAATCCGATATTTAATATGCTAAATGTCAAGTAACAATTTTCGGAAAAACTTACGAAATCCGAACACCCGTTCCGAGACGAGTCCAACCATACAAAAATTACCAAATTCCGATGTTAAATGGACCTTCAAATCTTAATTTTTCATTATTAGAAAGTTTTACAAAAATTTCAATTTCTTGCATCTAAATCCGAAATAAGTGATGAATATAGACATGGATTCATAAAATATAATCACTTTTGATTATAGAACGCTTATCCACTTCAAAGTCGTGAAAATCTCCTTTGAAATCGCTCAAATCCGAAACTTAAAACTAAAAAATGAGTAAAAATAGCGACTTCCGAATTTATGGGCTCTGCCCGATTATTTTCGCATCTGCGGATAAAAATTCTGCATTTGCGAGACAAGGCTCGCATTTGTGATGTCAGGCTGTCAGGTGAAGTTCCGCATCTGCGGATATTCCTGTCGCACCTGCGACATCCGCTTCTGCGCAAAATGGCCACGCCTGCGAAGACCCCAGCCTAGCCCAGTCCCGCATCTGCACAATTCCGCCGTACCTGCGGCATCGCACCTGCGGCCAAGACCCTCGCAGGTGCGATTACATCAGAGGCAGAAATTTCTAGAATTGGCTTTAAGTTCACAATTCGATCCGATTTCGATTTAAATCGCACTCGGGGTTACTCGGGACCCCATCCGAATATACCAGCAATTCCCGTAACATAATACGGCCTTACTCGGGGTCTCATATAACGTCAAACAATGCTGAAATTATAATTCACACCTCGATTCGAACTTTTGAGTTTTAAACTTTTCAATTTGCAAATCTCGTGCCAAAGCATGTTAAATAAATCCGGAATGACTTCAAATTTGGCACACAAGTCATAAATGACATAATAGAGCTATTCATATTTCCAGAATCATATTCCTGCCCCGATATCAAAAGGTCAACTCCGTCGTCAAACTTGAAAATCTTTAGCCTTTAAATTTCTAGTTTCCGTTAAATGTTCATAACTTGAGTTAGGGACCTCCAAATTAAATTACAGGCATACGCCCAAGTTCTAAATTACGATACAGACCTATCGGAACTGTCAAACACTGATCCGGATCCGTTTGCTCGAAATGTTGACCAAAGTCAACTCAGTTGAGTTTTAAGGCTCTATTTCACATTTTAATCAATTGTTTCACATAAAAACTTTCCGAAAATTATACGGACTGCGCACACAAGTGGAGGAGTGATAAATAGTGCTTTTCGAGGTCTTAGAAAACAGAATTAATTATTAAATTTAAAGATGACAGTTTGGGTCATCATATTTTAATAATGTTTTAAATTCAAGAAATTTCACATTTAATTAATACACCGAATAAAAGAAACCAAGTTTCAGCTAACAGGTAAAAATAATTAGCAGGAGAAGGTCAAACAAATTTAAAGTATATAAATCAAATCAATGATGGAGAATATAACAAGATTTAATAATTTAATTAATATGCAACAATGATCTACACAATTTAAAAATATAATCTTTCACATTTAGCCCGTGTACACACTCGTCACCTCATGTACACTACTTTCAACACATTTCAATTATCACATCAATACCAATCCTAGGAAAAATTTTTCCCACACAAGGTTAGACAAGTCACTTACCTCGACTTGCTCCAATTTAACCAAGTAGTATGCCTTTCCTCGACTTTTCGACTCCGATCGACTCGTATCTAGTCATAATTAATTCGATACAGTCAACAAAAATTATAGAATCAATTCTATAAGAAAATACTATATTTTTAAATAAAATTCAAAATTAACTCAAAAATTGTCAGTGGGGCCCACGTCTCGGAATCCAACGAAAGTTACGAAATATGAACGTCCGTTCAACCACGAGTCTAACCATACTAAAATGACTAAATTCCAATAACAATTCGACCCTCAAATCCTCAAATCTATCCAAGAGGGTTTTCAAAAAATTTCAACTTAAATCATCAATTAACTGATAAAAACAGTGATGGATTTTGGTAATCTAACCAAAATTGAGTTAAGAACACTTACCCCGATGTTTTCTCTGAAAATCTCCCAAAATTCGCCTCAATCCGAGCTCCAAATCGTTAAAAATGAAAAATGGAAAATCAGAACTTAAACTCTATGCCCAGGCTTTTACTCTACGCGATCGCGAACATCCACACGCGATCGCGAAGCACAAATTTCTATTGCCCAGATTTAACTCTACGCGATCACAGAAAATCCCACGCGATCGCGAAGTACAGTCTCTGCAAGCCTACGCGATCGCGAGCCTTCTCACGCGATCGCGAAGCATTAAGCGCGTGGCCCAACTTCTGCCTCGTTTCCTCTTCGCGAACGCGGTCTTAGCCACGCGTTCGCTTAGAACAGCTTGCCAAATCTACGCGATCGCGAACTCGCCCACGCGATCACATAGCACAAAATTTCAGCTGCCCAATTAACCCTACGCGATCACATACCTTCTCACGTGATCGCGTAGAAGGAAACCAGAACCTGCAGAAACCAGAACTTCAGCTATCAAGCGAAGTCCAAAAATGATCCGTTAAGCATCCGAAACTCACCCGAACCCCTCGGGACCTCAACCAAATATACCAACAAGTCCTAATACATCAAACGAACTTAGTCGAGTCCTCAAATCACATCCAACAACACTAAAAACACGAATCACACATAGATTCAAGCCTAATGAACTTTGAAACTTTCAATTTCTACAAACGACGCCGGAACCTATCAAATCAAGTCCGATTGACCTCAAATTTTGCACGTAAGTCATAAATGACATAAGGAGCTATAAAAATTTTGGAACTGGATTCCGACTACGGTATCAAAAGTCAACTCCCCGGTCAAACTTCCAAACTTAAATTCATATTTTAACCATTTCAAGCCTAATTTAACTATGAACTTCTAAATAAAATTTCGAACACGCGACTAATTCCAAAATCACCATACGGAGCTGTTGAAATCATCAAAATTCTATTCCGGTATCGTTTTCTCAAAATGTTGACCGAAGTCAAATTTAGCATTTTAAGGCCAACTCAAGAAACCAAGTATTTCGATTTCAACCCGAACACTTTCAAATCCCGAACCAACCATCCCCGCAAGTCATAAATTTATAAAAGCACATACGAGAAGTTTTATTTAGGGGAACGTGGTTCTAAAAGTAAAAAAAATGACTGATTGGATCATTACAGTGAGCTAATGTCTAATGAGTATCGAACTTATTAGCAATGGGTATATGAATAATAGACTAATGTTTAATGGGTAGTGCTAAATATAAGATATAAAAATATAGAATTTTTTGATATTCGAAAATCCGTATTCCCAAGTCCGTAATCCAATCCAAAATTCGAAAATTATAAAAATAGAATCTGAAATCCAATTCGCAATCCAAAAATCCAAAAATATTGAATTTCGGGGTTGCCCAAATGTCCACCCCTAAAACTATGTATGACATACTTGAGATATTTTTTATTTCTTGACTATAACTTAACTCTTTTCCTCTAATTATTGGACGGAAATATCTCGGTAAGTGTTGGTTTAACAGAAGTGAAACTATTCCCTCCGTTCACTTTTATTTGTCACGTTTCACTTTTCGAGAGTCGATTTGACTAATTTTTGAAGCTAAATTGGATTAGATTTTCTTAATATTTTAAAATTAAAATTTAGATATTCAGAAACTATACGAAAAATATTAGTATAATTTATAATTCGTCTCATATCAACATGGTGAAAATATACATATTAAAACGTTGGTAAAAGTTTATGTAGTTTGACTCTCGAAAAGCCAAAACACGATAAGTAAAAGTGAACGGAGGGAGTAAAAAACTGTCTCGACGGGCTACTGTTGAGTATTAAACCTTTCTTGGGTCGAATATGTGTACACCTTAAAATAACAACCATTTCAAATTCAACAGAAACTAAGGGTTCTATTTAATGATCTCTTGGTCACTACAGAAAAGTTAAGTGAACATTTTAGACTTTAAAAAATTAAGAAAAAAATATGATTAAGAATAGTTTTTATTTAGCTTCTGATTGTATAATCAAGTCTGTTTTAAATTAAGAAATTTGTTTCACTAAGTAATTATGACTAAAGCGATTCTATTTTAAGTTAGTTTCCTCGTCATTTTAGTGAAATCTATGCAGTGGTCAAAACTCAAAATTACTCCCTCTTGATATGTCAATTCTTTTTGCTGATATAAAAATATGCCTTTTATAAGCAAAAATAATCCTCTTTGTTGTAAATACATACTTAGTTATATTTTATTTAATCTCAATTTAGGCATTGTCAATTTAATGTTGTGCTGTCTTTTCCTATTTTCTGTCAATTATATTAAAAGAAAATTTTTTTATATAAAAAATATAATATGTGGCGATTGGCATCAACAATCTTAGATAAATATTCGCCTCTGATCTTTCAACTTGTAAACTCCCTAAAAATACTTACGTACACTAACTCCTAAACTTTGTAACTACACATGTTGTACCAACTTTCTATTTTTAGATAATATTTTGAGGTAATATAATTGTAAAAATATTCTAAATAGTACATTTTTACATAGAGGGACCAAAAGCATGTGTTTATATGCTAATAGAATGTTAAATATTATTTTTTTCAAATATCACGATGATTGAAATAAGAATTTACTAATAACCGATGGATTGAAAATATAATTATCCAAGAAAAAAAAGTGAAAAAGAACCACATCAGCCAATTTAACAAAAAAAAAGTACTACATTTCAAGACATAGATACATATAAAATTTAAAAACAAATAACAAAAAAATTAAATAGATATATGTAATTTCTGAGTCATGAAAGTTAGAAAATGAATTAGCTCATGATAAAAGGCAACTCTCTCTCTCTCCCCCCCATTATCATTGCTTCCAAGCAACAATTCCATGAATTCTCCCCATTGAATTGAATCCAACAAACAAATTTAGGGTTTCTTTTTTTGCTCTTATCGCTCTCAGATCTATCCCTATACAATTCAATTATTCAGATCGCCAGATTCACTTTCTTAATCTTTATCAGGTACGGCATTTTCCTATTCATAAATATCTACTCCGTGTGCGTGTGTGTAAAATTCTGCAAATTTTGACTATTCTAACAATTTTAATTTTTTCCCGATGGATTTATGCAATTTTTACATGCATTGTGTATTAGGACAAATTTGAAGCGGTGCATTTTAATTCAAGTTATCGCATTTATCGATTCGAAACGAAGTCCTTTTGTTTCACGTGTTAAGCACGTAAATGTGCTGCTTCGATTTCGACTTTTCACCTCCCTGTAAGTTCTTCAATTACGATCTACAATTCTTCTTCGTTTTGTGTGTATGTGTGTGTGTGTGTGTGTTTTGGGATCGGTATTAGTGATGTTGCTATATTTTGATGTTGGGAGTTTTTTGGATGTTGTTGTTGAAGTGTATAATAACAGATTGTGAAATTGGCGCCGCAACGCAGATCGCAGCGCCACGTGGGTGGCCAGATGCAGCAGAGCAACGGGGCGGCTACTGCTGGTCTGTATGATCAGCAGCAGGGCAATGCCAGCCCCGCTGCTGATGCGGGAGATGCTGTCATGGCACGGTGGCTTCAGTCTGCCGGCTTGCAGCATCTGGCCTCTCCAATGGCAGCTTCTACCGGTGTGGATCACCGACTCCTAATTATGCAGGTAATATCCCCATAATCGCCTTGACAACTTATTAAATTTATGTGATACTCTTTCCTCTTTCCTTTTTAGTCTGTTCCAAAAGAGCGATGAATTTCTATATATATAGAAACAATTTAACTTGAAATTTCTCATTTTATCCTTAATGAGATGATTTATAGCCACACAAATATCTATGACTTCTTTTAGATCACAAGTCTCAAAAGTTTTTCTTTCTTTATTAAATTCCGTATCCAGTCAAATAACATCACATATAATCTGGGATAGAATGAGGATTGGAATAAACTGATCCTGAATAGAACATAAGGTATTAGAGGTTTCATATAGCTGATCAGAACTAGTTTGAGATTGAATCGTTGTTGATATAATAATAGTTCTCAAGTGTCAGATGAATATTGCATACATTTTGTTTAAATCTGAACTTTGTAGTTTGATTACAAGGCACTGCAACAGTCGATAGCATAATTGCTACATCAGTTAAAATTGAATTGTCCCGATGTTCTGTCCGCTGTAGTGTCTAAAGGCTCTTCTCCATATTTGGTTTACAATATTTTGGTATTCACAGATAGATGGGCCGCATGTTGTTCTGTGCTGAGTCTGAAGTGATTTTTCTTTTCAGTCTTATATGCTGCTATATAGCATGGAAGCTGCTTCTTGCTAAATTCCACTGGCCTTAGTCAGTCAGTTGCAATTCTGGCTACCGTGAGTCACATCATTGAGGAGTTTTATCTACAAATAAATATTGATCGTTTTGTCTGATTTTCACCCTTTCTCTTTCTTATGGTTCTGGGTCATGTGTGTTTATTTTGGCATTCTTGGTCTTGTTTAGATGTTGCCGTATTGATTTTTTCAATAATTGAAGCTTGGGATGTTGTTTGAAGGGATATGGAGCTCAGTCTATGGAAGAGAAACAGAGGCTTTTCAAATTAATGAGAAACCTCAACTTTAATGGCGAATCTGCATCCGAGCCATATACTCCTACTGCTGAAAGTTCGGGAGGGATCGGAGCATCAGATGGTTTCTACTCTCCTGAATTCAGAGGAGACTTTGGTGCTGGGCTTCTGGATCTGCATTCTATGGATGACACAGAGCTCTTATCTGAGGTATGGAAATATTATTTGGAGGCATGATATTTAGCACATAGTTCTGCAGTCCACTGCTCCTGTTTGAGTGTACATCCTTTTGCTGGGAACATTGGTTGGACTGGGAATCCTCTAGATGACTCCCTTTCTGCCACCAATTACGCTCCATCCCCACCCTCCAGTAAAAGGATACGGAGTAACGAGACAAGAAAGAAAGTGTACTGAGACTTTTTTTTCATTTAGAGAACATAGTTGTGCTCTATTTGGAGTCTTTTTGTCCATTCTCTGGAAGGCTATCCAATAGTGGAGGAACTATCTTGTATCCTCGTCGGATTACTACGTTCAGATGGCACAAGAATCCTAATTATTTGGGTTCTATGTAAATGTAGACTATTTTGAAAATCAAAGATAAAGAGATTTTTAGTCAAACAATACCGTATTGAAGTTTGAAGTTGGAAGTGTCTTCCCATATTGGTAGAATAGCTATGGGATTGGAATCCTTTTTATGTGAAGAGTTAAGACCATACTTGCTGCTTACTTGTTGTCTAGAGGGCTATTGCTGTTCAATAACTGTTGCTTTATTTTTTGTATAGCATGTAAATTCAGAACCATTTGAGCCGTCACCTTTCATGCCTGCGGCGAATGGAGCATTTGATAGCAACTTTGATGCCCCGACCCATAGGCAACAAAAAGCACAACCAGAAGCTGATATTGCAGATGGATTGCCCATAATTGAAAAGGAAAGCAACGCAAGAGAAAACAATGTGGCAAAGATTAAAGTAGTGGTATGTGACTTGTGCTTGAACCATCAATCATGGACACATGTAAACTATGGTAATGAAACACCACTGAGGCTGTGAAACCCTTGTTGTTTGCATTCTCTGTCTGGTGAACGTTTGAAATCATTTCGATTGCCGTACTTGTAAGCAGCAGCTTTCGAAATATTTGTGGTTCTATTAGAAATAAGACGACATTTTTTCTGTTTCCTGAGAGGTATAAACGAAACTGATTTATCATAGTTATGCTTATATTTAGTACTCCTCTGCTTTTGTAGGACTTGTTTAGCCTTTGAGATTTATACTTCATATGTCGGTAGAAAATATAAAGAACTTCTAGTACTTTTATTTTTATTTTTATTTTGTATGTTATTAGCTTGAGATGAGTTTGTATGGAGTAACATGGTTAGTAAGGATTCATATAGCCGACCCCAACTTGTTTGGGACTGAGGCGTAGTTGTTGTTGTTGTTGTTGTTGTTTCATCTTCTGTTTTAATCCCTTTCTATGTGTGTCATATGGCGGTTCAGTTGATGATTTGAGTTACTTCCCGTCTAAAATTCCTAAGACATCATGATGTTTGACTAGGTGCGGAAAAGACCTCTAAACAAGAAAGAAATTTCTCGGAAGGAGGACGACATCGTCACTGTAACAGACAATGCTTGTCTCACTGTCCATGAACCCAAACTAAAGGTTTGGAATTCATGGTTCTGATTTATGCATCAGCTTATGTCTGAGACTAACTAAGGTTTGTTTCACTATTGAAGGTGGATTTGACTGCCTATGTTGAGAAGCATGAGTTCTGTTTTGATGCTATTCTAGATGAGCACATAACAAATGATGAGGTATTACTTGTCACTTGAATAAACGTTAATCACAAAGACTACTGATTTTTATGTTTGTCCAAACAACAATTTGGAAAAAGATATGGAGTACCTTCAATCTTTTTTCCCGCCATCATTGGTGATTTACTGTGTTCCTAAATGTAGGCAATTTCGATATCTAGGATTAATCTTTGAAGAGAATGGCATGGCAGATGAAGATGTAATACGTAGAAGTAAAATATGATGGTGAAAAATAGGAGAGCGCTTTCTATGCTATAATGAGATACCTAGCAAAAACGGTCATGAGATTGGTAATGTTATTTGAGAGTGAATGTTGGGCCTCTAAGGCGGAACATATCCACAACATTTGTGACATAATAATGCAGATCTTAAGATAGTGTGCCTTCATACATGATCGGAGAAGATTTAAAATAATCGCGTTAGACTGATAGTGCAATAACACACAGAGGATAAAATGAAAGAGGCTTGCTGGAGATGGTTTAGTCATGTCCTATGTTGACCTCCAAGTGCATCAGTCAATAGGTGCAAAACTACCATTATTGAAGGTGCTAAAAGGAATAATGTAGACCAAAAATTATATGGATAGAAGATGTTTTAAAGACCTACAATCTCTCAGAATCATTATGGTTGTAGCTAAGAACATACCAATTACCATAATGAAAGAAAAGGATCATATAGGCAAAACCAACTTGTTGGAATTAAATCTTCTATTGTTTTCTTTAGGTACTTACATTAGGTCTTTATAGGTTATTTGGTCTAATTTGGTTTGATGTTTGTATGTCAGTATTGGGTATGTGTGAGATTTAGAGAACCTTTAGTTCTTAAGAACCTCTAATTTGCTTTATGAAAAAATTATTTACTAGAATTGGAATGAACGTGCTTGAATAGAAGGTAACAGATATAGAGGATTCATATAACCTACCCAAGTTTTGGGATTTGAGATTTATAGCCTGTTTGGCCAAGATTTTCTTGGCCAAAATGCTTTTTTCCAATGTTAAGGTGTTTGGCCAAGCTTTTAGAAAGAAAGAAGTGTTTTTGAGTAGAAGCAGAAGCTGTTTTTGAGAAGCTGAAAAAAGTAGCTTCTCCCCAAATCAAGAAAATACACTTAGAAGCACTTTTTAAGAGTTTGGCCAAACACTAATTACTGCTCAAAAGTGCTTGGTTTGACTTTTGTTTCTATGGTTTTATTTGCTTATGTCAAGTTTTCTGCTTAACCGTTATCTCTCCTCATGTATTTCGCAGGTTTATCGTGCCACCGTGGAACCAATTATTCCTACCATCTTTCAGCGCACAAAAGCAACATGTTTTGCTTATGGCCAGACAGGTTCGCTATATTTTCCATAAGCTTGATTAATTTTGTCAGTACAAGAGATGCATTTAGAAAAAATATGTCTAAATTTGAGTTATCTGGTTTTTAGAGTTGCCAGTTCCTTGCTTTCAGGTTGAAGTGCGCATGTTTCTGAAATGGCCCTTTAAATTTGTGACTTTTACGACTAGGAATATAGAGATTGTTCGGGATCCAGACTTGCTTGACCAGCATGCTTATAAACAACATATTTGATCGAGTAGCGATTAGATTATTCTAATTTTTCTTGGATACCTTTTCTTCTGGAGTTGATGTAATGGTTTGCCGCATCTCATTCTTCATATTTCTGCTTTTAGATGTTTCAAATTATAAAAATGTTGTACTCCATATTCTTCTTGACATCTTTCTCGCATGTTCATGAGCGATTTACATGTTTTACTGTAAGCCAATCATATGAATTTCTCCCTGTCATTGCTTTTAAGGTTATGACTCTTGTCACTACTAGTTTGTTTGCATATGGGCATTGCTATTGTGGGCAGCTCCTCGATCGGTTATCATAGAATTGATGTTTTTTTCCTTTTTCCTTCCCTTATTGATTGTTCAGGTAGTGGTAAGACATACACGATGCAACCATTGCCTCTCAGAGCTGCAGATGATCTTGTCAGATTGTTGTATCAGCCAATTTATCGTAATCAGAAGTTCAAGTTGTGGCTCAGCTTTTTTGAGATATATGGTGGGAAACTGTTCGATCTTCTCAGCGATAGAAAGTTAGTATCCTTACCTGCATTGAAAATCTCTCTCTCCTTTGAATGTCAATAGAGTTTTAAGTGCGCTAATTTTTTTTCCTTTTCAAGTAGGTTATACCCTGCATAACACAAATCAGAATGGTTAATCTAGAGCCTCTGAATGGGTCTCCAACATTCATCCTTTGGTGGTATCTGATCTTATAGATAATTTTCCACTAAAGATGAAGATAAAAAATAGAGAGGAAGACACTTAAAGACTTAAAGTATCCTCATTGATTTGATGATAAAAAGCAGTGTTAATGCAGTGATAGGGAGTGTGTTGTCTTGGTTGCACAACTTATTTTTTTGATTATTAATTTTATTATACGAAGGGGGTGGGGGGGTGGGGTGGGGGTGGCTACTGATAGACTAAAAAGGTCCCTGGCTGACTCCTCCTATGAGTGAAAGTAAGTCCAAATATTCTAGGATTTTATCTAAGCTACTTATGACTTCTCTTACACCAAAAGTTTAAAGGCTGAATGCATTTAAATTTTACATCAGATATAGTCATCTTTTTTGCTTCAAAAGTTATGTGGTTCCTCTTGTGAGAAGGCACGGGAGAAAATATGTTATTGATATTAGATGAACAATACAATACAAGAGGTCCTTATTTATAGCTATACTATACAAGGACATACTACTCCTCTACCAATGTGGGACAATACTACACTATATACATGCTGTAAACTAACACTCCCCTCAAGCCGGTGCATACAAATCATATGTACCGAGCTTGTTACATATATAACCAATACGAGGACCAGTGAGAGACTTAGTGAAAATATCTGCAAGTTGATCATTCGACCTCACAAACTTTGTAGCAATCTCTCCTGAAAGTATCTTTTCTCTGACGAAGTGACAATCAATCTCAATGTGTTTAGTTCTCTCATGGAACACCGGATTTGATGCAATATGAAGGGCAGCTTGATTATCGCACACAAGTTCCATCCGACTGATTTCACCAAATTTCAACTCCTTGAGCAATTGTTTGGTCCAGACTAGCTCACATGTTGCCATAGCCATTGCTCGATATTCTGCTTCTGCACTAGACCGAGCAACTACATTCTGTTTCTTGCTCTTCCAGGACACCAAATTTCCTCCTACTAAAACACAATATCCAGACGTAGAACGTCTATCAGAAGGTGATCCTGCCCAATCAGCATCTGAGTATCCAATGATCTGCTCATGACCTCGATCCTCAAAGAGTAACCCTTTGCCTGGAGCCGATTTTATATATCGAATAATGCGGACAACTGCATCCCAATGACTATCACAGGGAGAATTCATAAACTGACTTACAACACTCACAGGATAAGAAATGTCGGGTCTAATCACTGTGAGATAATTTAATTTTCCAACCAGCCGCCTATAGCTTGCAGGATCGCTAAGCGGCTCCCTCTGTCCTGGCATAAGTTTAGAATTCGGATCGATCGGAGTGTCAACAGGTCTGCAACCTATCATCCTCGTCTCCTCAAGAATGTCTAAAGCATATTTTCTTTGAGAAATAGCAATACCTGAGCTAGACGGGGCAACCTCAATACCTAGAAAGTACTTCAATATGCCTAAATCCTTAGTTTGGAAGTGCTGGAAGAGATGCTGCTTCAGATTGGTAATACCATCCT